CTCACCCTAACCAGTTCCTGGGACCAAGCACCCAGGCAGCACCCCCCTAAACGCACACACATACGCACTTGTCCCAGCCAACCACAAACACCTCACCTTCCCACACAAGGCAGAAGCCACTCTGTGACCCCGCCACATGATTCCAGCCTTACCCGCCTGTCTCACTCCTGAACACCACTTCCCGCCCACCCACAGCCACATCAAGAGTTTTAGTGAGTTTCTGCAGCAGGGAGTTGTGCGTGCTGCCTGGCCCTCAAAAACTCAACAAAACTCCCTATGTGGCCCCCATGCCCAAAAAATTGCCCACCCTTGTGTTAAAGTAATGTTGTAGCCACGATGGTCCAGAAATTATGAGACAAGGATTTCTAAAGGTGATATCTTTTATTGGATCAACTGAATAGCTGGGATAGGATCAGACAAGCTTTTGAATAAGACATTCTTCATCAGGTCAGGTGTGACTTTAGGTAAAAGATATCACCCTAAGAAATCCTTGCCTGCCTCTCATATTATAAATTTATAATTTTGTTAAGCGTGAACCAAAGACAATTTGGCAGCATGAATAAACATCACAAAATCATAATACTTTTACCAGCAACTGGTGTGTTAATGTTTAGCATTTCAGAGTATAGCATTCTTTCTGTTACTATTGAATGCTGCATTACAGCCTATAACTGAAAACAAAAGCTACAATGAAATGCCCATAATAGTGTCAGCAACACACAGATACTTACTTTTTTCCAGTGTTTTCCTGGAGCAATTTTCAGGGCAAATGCCAGTAAATTTCATTAAAAAGGAAAGATCAGATTCTAAACTGTTAAACCAAGCTTTCAGGTCTGGTGAAAATTCAGGCTCTTCATATTCCTCATGAGATTCTCTTTGGAATGGCTTTCTAGAATTGAAAAGATGCATTTACAAGATGTAAAAAGGAGTCTTGCCATTTTCTAATATGTAGGCATATAAACATTTTCAGAAATTAATTTTAAATTTCCGATGTGCTAAACAGCTGCACTGTATGTGAATGAAACTGAATACTTTTTGCAGGATCAGTGCCTTAGCCATTAAGTGACAATACATTCAATTTCCTTAAATGAAATAACATGTACAACAAAACCTAGCGATTTTTGTGAAGGGTTGCATTGCTCCTTAAAAAAAAAAAAAAAATCAATCCTATTTCAAGATGTTAGCACTAAGAGTGGGGAAAAACAGTATTGGCAAAGGGACTGACACTAAGGTCATAATATGAATAACAGAGTGAATGTGCAATTCTGGAAATGGCCTAATAAAGAGAAAGAAAATACAGAGGTACAAAAACTCATGGTCTTTTCACGCCAACAGAATTTTAAAGACACACACACCCACAACAAAACAGAGCCCACCCCCAAAAGCACTAAAAATAACCCCAGTAAACGCAATGAAAACTGAGTAGATACTGCAGAACAGTAATGCAGACTTTTAAAATGAGATCAATTAAACTCTATTCAGACCAGTGGTTCTCAACCTTTTTAGAGTCAGGGCATTCCTCTACTGTTTTTAATTTGGTGACACTCTGGTTAAGAACCACTGTTGTACTGCCACAGCTAAAGCAGAAAGTCCTTATTCAATAAGGAATTTATTGGATTCTTAACCTTTTCCTTTTCCTACAACACACAAGACAGATTTGATTTCTCTGTCATTTACACAAGAAATTCTCAATTAGTTGCAATAGAATAACTCCTGATTTACACCACATTAACTGAGATAAGAACACATCCTAGACAACAAAAAATAATGTGGTATGTTACTTTTCTTCTTTGTGAGACTCCTTGCTATGAATAAAATGATTCTCCTTGCAACAAAGGAAAAATACTGAATTCAATCAAAATTGACCTGATTTATCCTTGCTTATATAAAAACTTTCATTCCTTTGATTTACAGAAAAGAGACTGTGAATTGCTTAAAATGACATAGTGTCTGAGTGGGAACAAGGCTTGCCATAATAAATGCTGACTTTTCTTTTTAATACATAAGCATACAAATCCCATGTGCTCTATTAACATATCCATGAACTCTTCTCTTCTTAAGATAATGGCTCTCAACTGGGGAACTGCCACCACTGCAGCCAGGTGGAAGTGCACCACATGTCTCCTGCAGAACAAGATGGGGAAGCATCTATGGCATGAATACCTAATTCTTGCCATAGATCTTCCCAGTCTGACCCCACATGGTATCCCCCAGAAACAGAGACCCATGGAAGAGTTGCACCTGTATGGCACTCCTCTGTTTCCAAGAAGAATGTGTGGGGTCAGACCAGAAAGGACTGTGCAACAAGTGGGCATCCTACCATAGCTATTTCCCTATCTGGCCCTCCAGGAGGTATGCAGTGCAGTTCCACCAGGTGGTGGCAGCAGTGCTCATGCTGCAACATCCCTAAATAGGTCTTGCAGTACCCCAATTAAGAACCACGAATTTAGACCATACTAATATAAATGAGAAAGCAATCTTATTCTATGTAAATACTGCATGTTGTTCCCTGTCATGTTTCCTTATGCAAGTCTTTATCAGTTACTGAAACTATATGCATTGCCAGCAAAAATAAAATAAGTCTTGAGATTTTTCTTATGATAATTTGATCCATTTCGTCTCTAGAAAGTGTACTTACTAAAATATTACACATAGTAAAGCACAATGCAAATTGTAGCTTTGGCAGGCTGCACTTCCCAGCTATAGAATGCCTACTGGTCACACTGTAAAAATCATAAAAAATTATGGTTAGAAGGGACCTCAGGAGGTCATCTAGTTCAGCCCCCTGCTCAAACTAGGACCACCCCAAACTATATCACTCTAGTCAAAGCTTTGTCAAGCTGGGCTTTAAAAGCCTCCAAAGATGGAGATTCCACCACCCCTATAGGTAACTTATTCCAGGGCTTCACCACCTACCTAGCAAAAAGTTTTTTCCCTAAATTCAACCTAAATTTCCCTTGCTCCAACTTGAGACCATTGATCCTTGTTCTGTCATCTGCCACCACCAAGAACTGTCTAGCTCCATCCCCTTCAGAACTACCCTTCAGGTAGTTAAAGGCTGTTATCAAATCAGTCTTCTCTTCTCCAGACTAAATAAGCCGTTCCTTTAGCCTCTCCCCACAAGTCATGTGCAGCAGCCCCCAAACCATTTTCATTGCCCCTCTGCTGGACTCTCTCCAACTTGTCCACATCCTTTCTGTATGTGAAAAGGAGGACCCAAAACTGTAAACCATACTCCATATGTGACCTCAGTGCAGAATAGAGGGGAATAATTACTTCCCTCAATCTGCTGGCAACACTTCTACTAATACAGCCCAGTATGCCATTAGCTTTCTTGGCAGCAAGGTCACACTGTTGACTCACATTCAATGGCTTTTGGTTCACTGCAACCCCCAGGTCTTTTTTCTGCAGAGCTGCTGTTTAACCAGCTGGTCCCAAGCCTGTAGCAGAGCATGGGATTTCCCCAGCCTAAGTACAGGACTTTGCACTTGTCCTTATTGAACCCCATGAGATGTCTTTTGATGCAATCCTCCAGTTGTGTCAAGGTCACTCTGAATCTTAGCCCTACCCCCCAGCATATCTACCACTTCTCCAGCTTGGTGTCATCCACAAACTTGCTGAGAGTGCAATCCATCCCATCTTCCAGATCATTAATGAAGATATTGAATCAAACCAGCCCCATGGCCAACCCCTACGGTACTCCACTCAATACCGGCTGCCAACTAGATCTTGAGCCATTTATCACTACCCATTGAGCTCAACAATCCAGCCAGCTCTCTCCCCACCTTCCAGTCCATTCATTCAACCCATATTTCCTCAGCTTTCTTACAAAAATGCTGTGGGAGACCATGTCAAAAGCCTTACCAAAGTCTAGGTATAACATGTCCACTGCTTTCCCCACATCAACAAAGACAGTCATCTCATCATAGAAAGCAATCAGGTTAGTCAGGTATGACTTCCCTTGGTGAATCATACTGACTGTTCCTGATCACTTGCTTCTCCTCCAAGTGCTTAGAAATGTATTCCTTGAGGACCTGCTCCATGATTTTTCCAGGGACTGAGCTGAGGCTGACTGGTCTGTAGTTCCCTGGATCCTCCTCCTTCCCTCCTTTAAAAATGGGGACTATATTTGCCCTTTTCCAATCATCCGTGACCTCTCCCAATCTCCATGAGTTTTCAAAGATAATGGCCAGCAGATCTGCAATCACATCAGAAAAATCCCTCACAGCAACTTCAGATGAGTTGTGTCCAGCCCCATGGACAAGTCCAGCTTTTCTAAATAGTCCCTAACCTCTTTTTTAACCAATGCTGGCTGCTCATCTCCTCCCCAAACTATGCTGTCAGGTAAAGTAGTTTGGGAGCTGACCTTGCCTGTGAAGACTGAGGTAAAAAAGGCATTGAGTACGTCAGCCTTTTCCTTATCATCTGTCATTAGGTTGCCTCCCCCATCCAGGAAGGGACCCACACTTTCCCTGACCTTTCTTTTGTTGCTGACACACTTGTAGAAACCCTTGTTACCCTTCACAGACCTTGCTAGCTCTAACTCCAATTGCACTTTGGCCTCCCTGATTTCATCCCTGCATGCCCAAGCAATGCTCTTGTACTCCTCCTCAGTTGTTGTCCAAGTTTCCACTTCTTGTAAGCTTCATTTTTGTATTTTAGCTCACTGAGGAGTTCCCTGATAAGCCAAGCTGGTCTTCTGTCACACTTTCTAGTCTTCCTGAACATCAGAGTGATTTGTTCCTCTGCCCTCAGTGAAGTTTCTTTAAAATGCAACCAGATATCCTGGATTCTTTTCCCCCTCAGATTGGCCTCCCAGCGGATCCTGGTCATCAGTTCCCCAGGGGAGGGTCAAAGTCTCTTTTTCTGAAGTCCAGGGTCCTTACTCTGCTGCTCTTCTTCCTTTCTTTCCTCAAGATCCTGAACTCAATCACCTTGTGGCCACTGCTGCCCAAGTTGCTATCCACTTCTGCATTACCCACCAGTTCTTCCCTGTTTGTGAGCATCAGGTAAAAAAGAGCATGACCCCTAGTTGGCCTCTCCAACACTTGTACCAGGAAGTTATCCCCAACACTCTCCAAAAACTTCCTGGATTGCCTGTGCACTGCTGTATTGCCCTCCCAGCAGATGTCAGGATGACTGAAGTCCCCTATGAGAACCACAGCCTGTGATCAGCAAACTTCTGCTAGCTGTTTGAAGAAAGTTTCATAGTTTCATAGTTTCTAGGGTCAGAAGGGACCTGAGCAGATCATCTAGTCCGACCCCCTGCCATGGCAGGAAGAGCACTGGGGTCAAATGACCCCAGTAAGGTGGTCATCCAACCTCCTCTTAAAAACCCCCAGGGTGGGAGCCTGCACCACCTCACTTGGAAGCTGGTTCCAGACCCTAGCCGCCCTGACCGTGAAGTAGCGCCTCCTGATGTCCAACTTAAACCTTCCCTCCGCCAGCTTGTGACCGTTGTTCCTGGTCACTCCTTGCGGCGCTCGGGGGAACAGGGACTCCCCCAGCGCCTGCTGATCCCCCCTAACCAGTTTATAACAGGCCACAAGATCCCCCCTCAGCCTTCTCTTTTGAAGGCTGAACAGGTTCAGGTCCCGCAACCTTTCCTCATAGGACCTACCCTGCTGTCCCTTGATCATACGAGTGGCCCTCCTCTGGACCCTCTCGATGCTGTCCACATCCCTCTTAAAGTGCGGCGCCCAGAACTGGACGCAGTACTCCAGCTGCGGCCTGACCAGTGCCGCATAGAGGGGGAGGATCACCTCCTTGGACCTGCTCGAGATGCATCTGTGGATGCACGACAAGGTGCAGTTGGCCTTCCTAGCCGCCTCCCCACATTGCCGACTCATGTTCATCTTGGAGTCAATAATGACTCCCAGATCCTTTTCCACCTCCGTGCTGACAAGAGGGGAGTTCCCCAGCCTGTATGTATGGTGCCGATTGTTCCTCCCCAGGTGCATCACCTTACACTTGTCTGTGTTAAACCCCATCCTGTTCTCCTCCGCCCATCCTTGTAACCTGTCTAGGTCCAACTGTAGCCTGTTGCTCCCCTCTAATGTGCCCACATCCCCCCACATCTTAGTGTCATCAGCAAACTTGAACAGGGTGCTTTGCACCCCCTCATCCAAATCACTGATGAAGATATTGAACAGGGCGAGCCCAAGGACCGAGCCCTGTGGGACCCCACTTCCCACGTCCTTCCAGGTCAAGAAGGACCCATCCACTACCACTCTCTGGGTGTGACTCTCTAACCAGTTGGTTAGAGAGTCTCATCCACTTCATCCTCCTGGTCTGGTGGTCTATAGCAGACCCCCATCACAATATCATCCTTGTTGCTCTCCCCTCTGACCGTGAACTCAGAGACTTTCAACAGGCCTATTTCCAGTTTCATACTGGAGCTCTGAGCAATCATAAAGCTATTTTACATACAGTGCAACTCCTCCTCCTATTCTCTCCTTCCTGACTGAACAGTTTGTACCCATCCATGAGTGCTCCAGTAATGCGAGCTATCCCACCAAGTCTCTGTTATTCCAATCATGTTATAGTTCCCTGACTGTGCAAGGACTTCATTCTTACTGCTCTTTTCCCAGGCTCTGTGAGTTCATGTACAGACACCAGAGGTAACTAGCCAATTGCCCTTTATCAGGAAGAATGAGAAGGTCTTCCCCTCTGCCTCCTCTTCCTTGTGCTTCCTCCAGGTCTCCCGCTTCCACACTTACTGCAGGGCTTTGGTCTCCATCTCCTGGCAGACCTAGGTTAAAGCCCTCTTCACTAGGTTAGCAAGCCTGTCAGCAAGAATGCTCTTCCTTCTCTTCATCAAGTGGATCCCATCTCTTCCTAGCAATTCTTCATGGTCAAAGAAATCAAACCCTGCTGGCAACACCACCTGTGCAACCATGTATTTATTTGCACAATGCACCCACTTCTGCCCAGGCCATTGCCCTTGACTACAAGGATCGAGAACACCACCTGTGCCCCCATACCCTTCATCCTTGCACCAAGAGCCCTGTCATCACTCTTAATCTGCTCACAGTCACCCCAGACAGCATCATTAGTGCCCACATGGATGAATAGCATGAGGCAGTAGTCAAGAGGATCGAACAGGTCTCAGTAATCCTTCTGTGATATCTCTCTGATCTAGGCTCCAAGCAAGTAGCAAACCTCCTAGGACTAAGTCCTTATGGTGGAGGATGCTTCAGAGCCTTGCTATCACCTCCTCTAGCTCTCTTGCCTTCTCCCTGAGGGAGATCACCAGAAGGCACCACTCACATCACAGGCACTCCCCCACTAGGCTGACACTGAAAGGAACCTGCAAACCTCAGTCTGTACAACACCAAACCAGGATCTGGGTGAAAGCCTCAATAGTGCGTGGTCCTGACTGGACAGACACCTCACAGATGCAAGCAGAGGAAGAGCTGGGAGTGGGAGTGGCTCTGGGATTGCAATGTCCTCCAGCTATCTCTCTGGGTCTTCCAAACTGCTGCCTCTCACTTCCTGCCCATCTTTCCAAGCAGACCTTCGCTAGTAAACTCCTCTGTAGCTGGGCTGTTCACTGTTCCTCAACCCTGAAGGGTTCCCTTTTCTCTGCAAACCTCTTTCCTCTCAGCAAACTTACAGTAAAGGAATGTGAGAGAGAGTTTCCAAATAAATTCCCCCTTGCTCTGGACTCTACTTAAACAAGGGGCTTAAGTCTTGGTCTAGCTGCTGAGTTTTAGCTGCTTAAAATAAAACAATGTAGGTTTGTCTGTCTTAATTACATAATTACAAAAATGCTTAATGATACACTTTGACCACCACTAAAATATCAAGTACACGTCTCAGTATTTGTGCTTCTTCATCTACTATTAAATTGTTCTCCCTCAGTACCTACAAGTCCTATTTACGCATTGGGATCCCATTGCGCTAAGTAATGTTCAGTCATAGAAGAAAAAGACAGACCCAGCTCCAAAGACCTACTTTATGGCAACCATAAAAAGACAAGTGAACTAAAGAATACTGCTGAAGAAACATTAATAAAAGAAAAATAAAATTAAACCTAGAAAACATAATTAAACATGAAAACATACACTGGCATTAGTATCTTCTCATCAGAATAAAGTGTAGATTCCAGTTGATTGTTTTCATACTCCTGAGCTAATGTTTCAACTTCTTTTTCCAAAGATTGAATTTCATCTTCATAAACTTGATAAATGTTGCTCTCCATTTCTTAAATGTAATCCTACTAGATAAAATGAAATAAAAACAATTGTTAACACAGTTAATATTTTTAAAAGCTTATTTTTATCATAATAGGTGTGCTGGCTCTGTGACTTAGGGCTTTCTCTCTGCTGACAGCCTAGATAAAAGGTTGTAAGTTCAAGACTGGGTGAGGTCCCTACACCTAACTTGCGTAGGGGCATGCGAGAAATTTTGCACCTACAGGAGGCCTCAAATGCCTCTACACAAGTGCTCAAAGCATGGGGAACAAGCAGAAGGAAACTCACCCTTTTCCTAGCTAGCAAAAACCCAGACCTAGCAGGGCTGACGGAAACCTGGTGGGAGGGATTCTACCCATGAATGGGCAGTGGACAGCGAGTGATACAGGCTGTATAGAAGGGACAGAGCAGGGAAAAAAGGGTTGTAGCACTCTACATCAGAGCAATACATGTCCTCAATGATCAGGATGGGTTCAGAAGAGGGGCTAACTGAGGCGCTCTGGGATAGAATGCAAGGGGCTCATAGGGAAAGGGACTTGATAGTGGGCATCTACTACAGACTGACTCACCAGGGGGACAAGCTGGACCTGGAATTCTCAGGTCAGCTCACGGAGGCTGTAAAGTCAAGGGATGTGGTTGCCATGGGCGACCTAAACTACCCAGACATCTGCTGGAAGGAGCAGTGAGCCAGCTCACTCGGCCAGGTCCAACTGCTCATGTAGGTTCCTAGCTGGGATACAGGACTTCCACCTAACCAAGGAGGTGCACAGTCCCACAAGGGGAAATGCCTTGCTGGACTTGGTCCTTGCCATAGGCGATGGAGGGGTCTGAGGGTACTCGACCACCTGGGCGACAGTGATCATCGCCTGCTGGAATTCACTATCTAGTGCAGGGTGATGAAAGCAAACAGAAAGGCAAAAAGTCCTTGACTTCAGGAGGGCCAACTTCAACGAGCTAAGATGATTAAGTAGGAGAGGCGTTGGGGTCTCAGAGCTTCAATGAGACGGGAGTCCAAGACAGGTGGTTGTTCCTCAAGGAGTCAATCCTCCAAGCTCAAAGGGAGTCAGTCCCAAAGTGCAGCAAGGGGGGCAGGAGTGCTAAAAGGCCCCCATGGCTCAGCAAAAGCATTCAGGAATGCCTGAGGGCAAAAAAGGAGGTGTACAAACAGTGGAAGCAAGGGGCTATCACCAAAGAGCATTACACCTCTGTTGCTCATGCCTGCAGGGAGGCTGTTAAGAAGGCCAAGGCTGAGATGGAGCTAGGGCTAGCAACCAGAATTGGGGATAACAAAAAGTCCTTTTTCAAATACATCGGGAGTAAGAAGAAGGCAACGGGGAATGTGGGGCCCCCACAGGACAAGCTTGGCAATCTGGTGATTGCAGCTAACGAAAAAGCTGACCTCTTTAATGAATTCTTTGCCTCCATATTCCCAAGTCGGGACCAGGACCAGGACCAGGACCCAGGGGAGGCACTGCCATGCCTAGGATCAGGGATGACCTAGTTAGGGAATTGTTGGAGGGGCTGGATGTGTTCAAATCAGTAGGTCAAGATGCTCTTCACCCGAGGGTGCTGAGGGAATCGGCAGGGGTCATAGCAGGGCCCCTGACACAGCTTTACGAGCACTCACGGGGCTCTGGCCAGGTACCAGAGGATTGGAAACGGGCCAATGTGGCCCCCATTTACAAGAAGGGGAGAAAGGAGGACCCGGGTAACTATAAGCCAGTTAGTCTTACCTCGGTGCTTGGGGAGAACTTTGAGAAAATTATCAAGAAGCTCATCTGCAAGGGCCCAGCAAGGGAGGTAATGCTCAGGGGCAACCAACATGGGTTCACTGAGGGCAGATCCTGCCTAACCTTGTTTCCTTATATAATCAGGTCACAAGTCCCTGGACAAGGGCGTCAAGGTAGACATTGTCTTCCTGGACTTTAAGAAGGCCTTTGACACTGTTTCCCACCAAATTCTCTCAAAAAAAACTAGGCAACTGCAGCATTGATGCCTACACAGTCAGATGGGTGGAAAATTGGCTGGATGGTCACACCCAGGGAGTGGCAGCAGATGGGTCATTTTCGACCTAGAGGGATGGGGGCAGTGGAGCCCCCCAGGGCTCTTTCCTGGGGCCTATACTGTTCAACCTCTTTATCATCAATCTGGATGTGGGTGTGAAAAGCACACTGTCCAAATTCACTGACAACACTAAGATGTGGGGTGAGGTGCGCACACTGGAGGGGAGGAGCAGAATCCAGCTAGATCTAGACAGGTTACAGAGGTGGGCAGATGAGAATAGGATGGAATTCAAAGCAGAAAAGTGCAAGGTACTGCATCTAGGGAGAAGGAACCAGCAACACACCTATAAGCTAGGGAACACCATTATTGTCAAAACAGTGGCAGAAAGGCATCTTGGAGACATTGTTGACTCCAGGATGAACATAAGCCACCAATACAAGGAAGCAGTCAGTAAGGTCTACAGATGCATCACAAGCAGGCCTAGGGAGGTGATCCTTCCCCTCTATGTGGTGCTGGTCAGGCCACAGTTGGAGTATTGGGCCCAGTTCTGGGTGCCGCGCTTCAAGAGGGATGTGGCTAGCATTGAGAGGGTTCAGAGGGCCACTCACTTGACTCATGGTCAAGGGGCAGCTGGTCAGGCCCTACGGAGAGAGGCTGAAGGGCCTGAATCTATTCAGCCTCCAAAAGAGAAGGCTAAGAGGGGATCTGGTGGCCATTTACAAACTCACCAGGGCGGAACCGGTGGGAACTGGGTGAGGCTCTGTTTCCCTGCACACCGCAGGGGGTTACTAAGAATAACGGCCACAAATTGTTAGAGAGAAGGTTCAGGCTGGACATCAGGAGACATTACTTTACAGTTAGGACTGACAGGCTCTGGAATGGACTGCCAAGGGAGGTGGTGCTCTCTCCTACATTGGGGGTCTTCAAGAGGAGGCTGGACAGATATTTGGCTGGGGTTTTATGACCCCGCACTCATTCCTGCTCAGAGGAGGGGGTCAGACCTGATGATCTGTTTAGGTCCCTTCCAACCCTAACCACTATAAAGCTATAATTACCAATATCAAAAGAAGAAAAGTGGCACTAGAATTTTAAAGTTTCTCTCTTCCTTTTTCTAAAAATTAAATTACACAGCTCGCCAATATTAAAGCTACAGCATTTTGAGCAGTGGTCATTGTAACAGAGCAAGCAACAGCGCAGTTCCTTTGGTGCTACAAAGTTGTGCGTGCAGGGGAGAGTCAGGTCAGGGACAGGGCAAGGACTTAGTAGACCCAGTTGGGGAGAGGGATCACACCAGGATGAATGTTGCCTGATTAAGAGCCAGCGGCTATTAAAGTCCACAGCAGACGGCTTTTCTTTGCCCCCCTGGGGCAGAGCATGAGGAGAGTCAGCAGGGAAAGCCTGGAGCAGCAAACCCAGCACTAGAACAGAACGCTGATAAGATCAACTGACTGGGTGAAGGTAACCACAGCGACTGGCAGAGGAAAAAGTTGAGAGAGAGAGGAGATGCTTACCAGATTGATCCTCAGGCAGAGAGAAGGTCCCACGGAGGAAAAATCCACTGATACCTGCAAAGGAAGGAAAGAGAGTGAGACTGGAGGCAAGCTGACAGGCTCAGGGGAGTTGGTTGCATGGCAGCAGAGGGCAAAGGAAAACCATGCACCGTGAGAACAGCCAGGTTTACTCTCAGCTCATGGGAAATTCACTAATAAACCAATTTACTTTTATCCTGCTTCTGGGGTGATTTACTACACTCTCTCTCTCATTGGTGTAATGGGCAAACTGAATTATGCTCAGGCTCTTAGCGTAACTTTAGGCCTTCCTAGATCTAAGCAATTAAATTGTACAGAGTGCCTTTACTGGGAAAAATGAGTGCTGTGATTGGTAGTGGGCTAACCAGGTACAGTAGTTTCCCTAAAGGGAAAGAAAACCAAAAACGGAATAGGATTGGAGTACCTTATCTAAAAAGACGAGGTGAGAAACTTGATTTTGGACAGTTTGAGATGAGAAAGTTACAAAAGTAGTGGACAAACAAAGAGACAGTGTGTGTTTGTGTTGCCACTCTGAGGAGACAAGAGCAGCCTTGGAATTCTTGTTTTGAGTAACAAGGAATCCAGAAACTAACATCCCTCACACCCAGCAGAGGATCTGAGGCTGGTACCACCGAGGATGTTACAGCAGTGACCCAAGGAACCACTTGCCAGGTCTTATCGCAAGGATAATTATCTTGTAATAAGCCTAGGGGTTTAGTAACCCCTAAAGTTCACTTCACACCAAATCAGATGAGGGGCCATGTCAATCCTTGGGGGTCTCTGGTAAAAGGAATCCTGGGTCAACAGTTGGGAAATTAACTTCTTATTCTTCCATCACTTCAAGGCGTGGCAGAAGAGCCCCAGGGAAAGACTTTTCATTATTCACCCCCACACAGCCACAGTCATCAACCTTTTAATAGGAGTGAACCCACCACTTGGAACCTGGCTGCTGCCACAAGCCAACAATACCTCCCAGTGTACCACTGACAGGCAACGTAAGGGTCACATCACAGCAGTTCTACTCCCTTAGGTAATCTTATCACCAGTCCCAACTCTCAAGAGATACCTCTAATGCCCTCCTACTACAGTTGTCCCCTTTCACACACCCCCATCCGCAAGGCTATCAGCAGTGAGAAAGGCAACAGCTGCAGTAGTTGGGCTGCATTAAACCAAAGCTGCTGGCAACACTGACAGCTCCCCTACAGAGGATGACAAAAAGCATGAACATGACAAAGGACACAGAGTTACTGGGACACAATCTCCCTTATGCCCCTAACTCCCCCACCAGCTGTGAGGGACTCCATTGCAGGCTAGATCTTACCTCCACAGGCCAGATCTAATTTCTATCTCCACCCCACTCCTGCTGCACCACGCTCACTAGGATTCCCCAATTCACCCACTACTCCCCACAAGGGTAGGGGAAGGTAGGGGAAACAGGAAGAGGAATGGGGAGCCCAGAGACTCCAGTGACAGAAACTGGACAGCAATGTAAGAAGTAAGGTATGGACTGGGAGCCCAGGGACTGAACCCCTTGGGGGGGGGGGAAGCATGAGACCCTCAGGCTGCATTCCAACAAAGACCTACAGATTCCCTTAGAAGGGAAGCTTCCTTCTGTGTAACTGCTTCCACACGATGGTAACTCAAGTAATGCAACACATGCAGAATAAATTTTGGATTGTGCAATTTTCCACAAGGTTTCATAGGACATGGAAGGAGAGTTGATCTCCAAGTCTCCCGTGCTAACCCGCCAGCAGCAGCGAAGCACAGCGGGAGTGCTGCTAGCTGGGGTGGTCAGAAAGCCTATGGAGGGGAGGGTCTCCGCTGCAAGATACGAGCGCAAAGCTCCCCCGCCCCGCCGCAAGCTGCGGCCCCCAAAGACTGCTGCTCGCTCTGCGCCCAGCTCGAGTCCGTGAGGGCGCAAAGCAGGGCCGGGGATACGCCGCCTCCCGCTAGGCAAGGAGCCTCCCTAGCCCTCCCCGCAACGCTCCCCGCGAGGCGTCTTCCGCTGCCACTTCGGCCGCCGCGGGAGCTTTCCTCCAAGGAGAAGCCGCCACACGCCCCACGCGCCTCACGGGCAGCGGCGCCTACCCGGCCCAGCCCAGCTGCTTCGAACCGATCGAGCCCGCGCTCGCGCCCGGCCCTCACCACCGCGCGGCGGCAGCTGGGGGACGCTCTGCCCCTCGGCCACACACGCCTACGTCGGTCCCAGCCACACAGACGCTGCGGAGCGAGCGCCGGCCAGCCCGCGGAAAGGAAGGGAAGGGAAGGGAAGGGAAGGGAGGGGGCTTTTCTTTCCTCTTGCCCCCAGGCTCGGGCCCCAGGGCGCACCTCTCTCCCTCCCCCACCCCGCCACCTAGTTAGTTCAGTCCGAGCCGCGTGCGCCGGGCTTGCCGAGCTTGCCGGGAACTGCGGGGCGGGGCCGGAAGAGGCTGAGGGAAGGTGGGTGGTGTCGTACAGCGGGGCAGCGTGCAGGGAGTCGGGCCTCGGGTGAGTCTAGGTTGCCGGGCAGGCTTTGCCTTGCTGGTGCTGTGTGTGCCTGGTCCCACGGCCGGGCCGGATCCGACCCGCGTCTCTGTCCCAGCGGGGCCACTGCCGCTCGGGGTAGGCTTGGCCCCTTTATGGAGCGGCTCCCTTGAGTGGAGTGGCGTCCGGCCGGGCTGCGCGGCAGCCGGAGGCTGAGCTCGGCTCCTCAGTGGGTAGAGGAGCCAGCGCCCTAGCGCCTTGTTTTTTGAGGCGAGATTGAAATGGAGAGGGGGGAAGGCACGGAGAATCGGAGTGAGGCGTTGAAGGAGGCTCTCCCTGGCCGCTTCCTAGTGCGGGACGTCCGTAGCGTGGCGACCCTGCCGGAGTCTCGTCTGGGCCCGGGCTGGGAGGAAGGGCTGTGACTCCTTCTCCCTTTCAGGGCTGGGCTTTTGCAGGCTTGGGTACAAGCCCGGGGATCATTCTGTCCTTGTCCTTCTGGGCTTTCTTGTGCTGTAGAAGCTGAAGCCCTTACTTACCACGCTTATGCTGCCCCTCGTGTTACAGAAATAATTTGCCTTTTCCCCCCATGGCCACAGAAGTCTGTTCTCTCATGGTCCCACACCTAGTACTGTGATAAAGAGATGCGTTTATTGCAGGATCTAATGCTGTATAATATACTAAGGGGTCAGATTAGATGATTGAAAGGTTTGTTCCAGCCTCGATTTCTGGGAAACTGAAACATCATAACTGCAGCCTTTGGCGCACGTACCTACAGTTTGCCCCTGAAGGAACAGTGATCATGATAACCTCAGGTGTACTGTTCCTTGGTTCTGCACCACTGAGTAGACCACACAGGCAGTTTTATCAACAGCAATTTATAAAGTCCTGGGGAGGTGTAGGACAGCAGGATTTGAAGAAGGTCAGGCATTTCATATCTGGAGAGGTTAGGATCTTATTCCCTCCTGATAACATTACTCCCGTGACATTGCTGTATCGAAGGGTGAAGGTACACAGTATTTTGGGAGAAATTGCATTGGCTTACGGGCCTTGCCCAAACATAGACCCACACGCATTCATTTAAAAGGCCATCTGGTGCTGCTGTTTCCAAAGCTTAAATCCAAATACCGTGTATGTGACTGTGAAGGGTACAGATCTCAATGACTTTGAAACTAGAGGCTAATATCTTCATATGGAGGGTGCCCTGAAGACCAATGATTTCTTATCCAGATCATACAAAAAGTCCCATGCTTCTGCAACACAGACCCAAGTTCAAGGGAGAAAAAGGAAATTAGGGTTATCACATGCACCTGGATTCAGTACACGTGCATGGAAGTTTAAATAAATGAGTGATTGATTGTAAGTACTACTTTCTGTATTGTGTAACATCCAATGCGACACGTGAGGGCTTATTTAATGCTCGCTGCACTTTGTTTTTCCCTTTCAACTCCTGGGATAAGAGGGCAGCTAATCTTTATGAGCTATTTTGTGCTTAATTAACTTGCTACCTTATTGATTATTGGTTGATTATTTTGGTAAATATCAGTACAAATGTAAAGCTCTCTGAGGGCCAGTTGGGATCCTGGGTTACTATATAATTAGCTGATGTAGATTGCTTACTGTTTTCAGATGCTGCAAAACAAAACTTCATGGCATAAATGGCTACATAGTTCTATTCAAGTAAATCAACAAAAGCAAGTGCTATACACAGGCTTAGGCAGAGAAGGTTCTTTGGGTAAATTTGATTATCTTTTATTAGACCATCTAAATAATTGGAAAAATTCTTCTTTGCAAGTTTTTGGGAACATCATGTTCAAAGAACAATACAGATGCAACCAATACCCGCCCAAACACAAGCCTAGAAATTAAAAGTTAGGTTCAGAGGAAAAACAATAGAGGTATACCAATACATTGGTCCATATCATATCTGCACCAATAAAAGGAAAATTGACATTATTGGTAATTGGCTTTTTTTGGCTGATGTGGCTGATAATGTTGCCAATAAAGGAGGTCAGGCACTTCATATCTGGAACAGTTAGGACCTTATTCCCTCCTAATAACACTACTCCCATGACATTGCTGTATCAAGCTAGCCTGGCAGTTTGGACAGCAGTGTCCAAGGGGAAAAGACATGGCAGGGGGCAGATTGAGCCCCCACAGTGAAGGAGGGAGTGGGGCAGGGGCAAGCACTGCCTAACCAAACCAGGGACAACCACAAGCGGCTCATGCAGAGCAGGGGGCAGCTGCTGCTACTGTGCGCACACTGGGGGAGGCATGGAGGGTATGTGCCCCTTGGGTCTGTGCACAGGGTGAGGCTGGGCTGCTGCTGAGGACTGGGGTGGGGTGTAGCTGGGCTCTTCCTGGCAGCGGAGTTGGGCCAGGACTCCACTTGGGGCAGCCGGCAGCACTGGAAGGGGGAGCTACGTAGTGGGCTGTAGCCTCCCCAAAATTTGCCGTAGCTCTCCTCCCAGTGCCACAGCCACCGCCTGCCCCAAGTGCTGCCCTGGCTCAACCCCCCTTCCAGGAAGAGCCCAGCACCACCCCTGGCCCCAGCCTGGAGCAGCAGCCCACCCTCGCCTCACACACATATCTGGGGGCACAGCCCCATGCCTCCCCTGAGGTGCATTAAACCACCCCCCCTGCCTTCCACTGCTCCCCAGATGAGCAGTTCATGGCTCAGTCCTGTGCTCTGCCCCACCCTGGCTGGGCAGCACCTGCCCCAGCACCAGCCCCATTCCCTCCCTCACTGTGGGAACCTCAGTCTGCTCCCATTCTCCCCCAACAGACTTGCTATCTGGACACTGCTCTCCAAGCTGCTGGGCTGCATATTGTCAATTGGATTGGTATCTGCCAATATGGTTCATTAATAATCGGTATTGGCCCAAAAGTCTTAATTGGTGCACCCCTGAAGAACAAGAATGAGGCACGTGCACCAGCTAACTGATAATGATAAAATCTGGTTCTGAATTATCAAAACAAAGTGTAAAACTGAAGTACAACTAGAAAAATGGTCATGAGAGACCAAAAGTTTGGTTCCTGGAGCAGTAGTAGACACATTGTCAATGAGAGCACAATGCACGTGGCATTCCTGGACTTCTGCCAGCCAGTCCTTAACCTTTTGGTAGATCTGTCTAAGACTCTTAAATATGTTCCTGGCCTTGGGTCCCATTCTTGTGAATGCCTAGCTGAGGAGGAGGAGAAGGAAGAGATTATAATGAATATTCCTATTGTTGCAGCTTTCTCCCCATCTTTTGTGCCTTGTAACACATACCACATTATGTTACTTATTTGCAAACCAGAGCCCTTATGGGAATTAATCTATGAACTACTCTAGACAACAGAGAAAGAAAGTGGAGTGCTGGAGTTTGCGGAGAAAGCAGCAGGAAATTGTGGAATTGTTGCTGTTGGGCTGTCTGGGTAAGTTCTAAATTCTCACTACAGAAACAGGGAGGTTAAGGTTTTTGGCAGAGAAGTTACTCTTATACCTGGAAGTTCAACAGAGCTTCCAAAGTCAGGCTGGATTGCCACACGGAATCAAGCATAGGTATATTTAGTATAGATGACTGGTAGGGATGGGCTTTAAGGTCAGCCTTAACTATCATCTTTAGACAGAGCCTTGGAGTGAGATCACAGGTATAGCTTCGTCTTGAGCTATAACAATTGTTAATACTGAACTATAATCTTCTTTTCCAGGAAAACTAAAAAAGGATGCATCATAGATGAAATGGTCTGAGTTCTTAATATGGAGGGGAAAAAACTATTAAAGCGTTTGTATGTTGGAGGACTTGGCCATACAGTCTCTGAGGATGAACTGCAGGAAAGATTCAGCAAGTTTGGCGAAGTTACAGATGTAGAAATTCTTACCAGGAAGGATGAGCAGGGTAATAATTTCACTTATCCCATAAAGTACAACTATTCTTTACCTTATTTGGTAATGGAAAATATAGCTGCAATTTCAAAACTACTTTTTTCTTCAAAAGCATCCCTATAGAATATATGTTTCAATTTAAAACTAAAAATGCAATTTATACAAAAATAAAATGTTTCTAATTATCATTGAGCAGGGAACCCTATGAAAAGTTTTGCTTACATCAACATCAGCATTTCAGAATCAGATCTTAAAAAATGTAAGTACACAAGTTACTTTTGTCCTTAATTTCTGAACAGAAATTGGGTGCTAACCCTGGCTCTCTTCTGGCACATTTTCATCCTAGGCATGTTGAAAAACTGCGACTCCTTTGTAATGTAAATCTGTAGTAAGACTGAGTTTATGAATAAACAGTGTGATCATACTGTTGTTGAGGAAAAATATTTTTCTCCCTCATCTGTACCTTTTATTCTGCACTTGTTTCTCTTAGTTCTTTTGGACTTCAGATTTAACTGAAGACAATATATGAAGTAACAGATCTCACTTGTGTATGTTGTAGTGCCTGTGCTTTTTTTTTTTTTTTAAAGGTCATGATTTGAAGTTCTAAATCTTGAAGATTTCTAAATCTTTCAATGTTGGTTCATCTCTGACTAACTTATTGGAAGTCAGTACAGGTTTTGAACATAGAAAATCTTTTTCTTGTTTCTTACTGGCAATATTAGTGCAGGCATAGAATTAATCTAGTAATGCTGAAGGTGATCACTAAAATGGCATTATTGAAGCATACCTTAAATATTTATGCAAGTAGTTAACAGTTGCTTCTTTTCTAATTCTTATTTTCCCAGGTATGTCAATTTTAAATAAAACAAAATGGAAAGGTGGAACACTACAAATTGAACTGGCAAAAGAAAGCTTCTTGCACAGGTAAAGTTAATATACAAGTGTAGACTATAGATAATATCCAAAGGCATACTTTGTTTTAATAGAATTAAGTGCTAGTTAACTAATATCTTTTGAGAAGCTATAACTAGGAACCTACCAAAAGCACGATTTTGGGCAGGCACCACAAAAAAGTGTAGGCTTTTGGGGAAGGGGCAGGAGGGGGAACCTTACTGAATATAAAATGCTGGCTCCCTCTTGGTAGCTAGCAGTCCTTGTGGTTATTGCAGCCTGACTGGGCAGCCCATCAGGTGGGGAAGTGGGGAGGCTACTGGCATGGCAAGATAGCTGTTGCCTCCCCGCCTCGATTGGCTGCAAGTGTTGTCAATCATATGGCCCTGTCCCTTACCACCAATTGGCAGCAAAGGGCAGGGCCGCATGACAGACAGCCCTTGCAACCAATGGGCGATGAAGGGTGGGGGCTGCATAGCAGCCCTTGCAACCTTGGTGGTGAGGGGTGGGGCCATACGATGGACGGCCATCACAACCAGTCACAGGCATGGAGGAGAGGGGGCCCAGCCACACTCTACCCACGAAAATGGCTGCCAGCCCCACAATTTGCACATGAGATCAGCTGGCAGCTGCCTCAAGTTCAGTGGACCCCTATTCATGACTTTTAAATGTGGCCTGAATAATTTTCTTTAAATTCATAAAATACTGTAGTAGTGAGCTTAACAGGTTATTTTCAGGTGATCCTAATTAAGGAATATTTATTAGTAATGAACTCAAGGCTGGATGTTGCTTTCACATTGTATGCACATATAGTCATCTAATAAGATTTTAATAGATAGCTTAGCTACTTTTACGTAACTGTTGAATTTTGCCCATTTTGCACTTGTCTCCCATGCATCTTTAGCTTTATGTCATCTGTTGCATTGTCATTCTTCTATTTTAGCTTTTATTGAAATTAATGAGGCTGCTATCTGTGGTAGTACAGCAGGTGCAATAAGTTTGTCTTTCTTTTAATAAATTAGTTGGGTGAATTTTTGCCCCTTTATTTGTGCTTTCAGGGAGTGAGGGACATGGGGGTTCCAGTTCCTGTTAAGTGTTTTTGAGAAGCTGCCCATGATCTGCAAATGAAAATATGGAGATCTCCACTGCTAATTATGATTTTACAGAAGTAGCCAGCTTTTGTGTTTTCCTTCTGTGTCGTAGTGAGATTAAACCATGTACTTTGATACAGATTGGCACAGGAAAGAGAAGCAGCAAAGCTGAAGAAAGAACAGCCTCGTGCAGATAGCAAAGCAAATCTAATGGAATCACTGAAGAAAGCTGGAGTTGTAGATTTTCACATGAAAGCAGTGCCAGGAACAGAAGTACCAGATCATAAGGTATGGTAAGATATCTCTTCTCATGATTTAAAAGTCAACTAGAACAGGCAAAGTATTACTTAGGTTTATCATAGTCTCACTATTTTTGGGGGGATTATACACAGAAATATGAGAATCTTACATTTATTTAAGTTGCTACCATTTATTTCTAAAGGAAATGAATGAAGTTATCCAGTGTAAAAAAAAAAAAGTTACTTAACCAAACAACAGGCTAATTAGTGACAGGTTCTTTTATTTACAGTTCCTACCACCAAAGGCTTTACACTTCAGTTTTTTACAGATAACTATGGTGCTTGTGATGTGTTGAATTCCCATTATTTTTTCACTGTGATAACTGGGTTTTTTTCTTTCCTGCAGAACTGGGTGGTTAGCAAATTTGGAAGAGTTTTACCTGTTCTTCACCTTAAGAGTCAACAGCAAAAAAAAATATCCTTTCCTATTGCTTTTGTAAAGACTGAGTAAGCTTCTGCTAATGAAAGCTCATGCATCTCTGATTTAGTTAGCCTGTAAGGTGTATCTCTACCCTGCCTCATAAAAACAATGCCATTCTTCTTTTCTGTCCTTACTGGAGGACAAGAGATTTTTGTCTAAGAATGTTTTTATTACTGAGAGTGATACTATGCTTTACTGAGTAAATGTACCTTAGTTTTGAAATAAACATGCATTAGGTGTGCTGATTGTGAGCAACTTTTAAAATATTTTCAATGAGCGTAGCTTTGAAAATCACTCTTCTTTTTAGTTTATGCTGAAGATAGAAAGCCTGCTTGCTAAAAATAACTTTTTGTCCTTAACTTAGGCTATAACATCATGAAATATGACCCCTCAAAATATTGCCATAATCTTAGAAAACTGGAGCAAGACTTGACTGAAATGGTTCCTGTATCCAAACTTACTTGGTATTTGGAAGAGGAAGATGATAGCATGACCAAGAAACGACAAGGAGAATATCATAGAACTAAAAAGCCCTCCAAAAAACTGAGGAAGGAGGGTAATGAGGACTTAAATAAAACATCACTTCAATATTCAGGTTGCCAATTACAACTGAAGAAAGCAAACGTAAAGATGGGTGAAACATCACTTTCAGGTTCAACTGAATTATTTCAGATTCCTACTCTTAGTGACACGAAAAGAAAAGAATTCTTCCTGCATAAGAGCTTGGTCTCAGATGTTGTGTTTCACAGAAATATGCCTAGCATTTCTGATGATGATCTTGATTCAGAAGAAGAGATTGAAGCATTGATAAGGAGAGAAAAGCAAATGGAGAAAATGAAGACCAATATTGTTTCTGAAAATAACTATTTGGAAGTTGTTGGGCATAATTTTGAGCTAAAATATAATACTCACTGGTCTTCAAGCAATCCAGATGTCATGAGGAAAGTCACTAAACAGAGTAATAGAGTGAGAGAAACTACTGAAAATGATGATTATAATTCAGCAGATACAGATGAAATTATTGCAGTAAATAAAACTTTAGATAAAGGTAATGTGAAGACTAAAGTTCTAAAAAAATGTAAACAGATGAAAGTAGAAAAGGATTATATTAAGGATGCACTCTTGAGTAATGAAAACGTTGAGTCTGTAAATGATCCTTCTGTTGTGTCACCAGATAAGCGAAACAGAAAGAAAATCAAAAGAACGGTACCTGAAAAAATGGAAAAATCTAGACCTACCGCACTGCAAGACACCATAACTGACAGCAAATCTAAGTCCAGTAGCAATGAGAACTTGCATTCAGAGTCTGAAGCAAATGAATCTGAATCTGATTCTTGTTATGAAAACTTGATGCAAAACTGTTACCACCTGGATCTTACATTAGATGACTTAAAAGACTTGGCCACTATAAGTACTGAGATTTCAGAAGAAAATACAGAAAGTAAATTGAGTATTGGTCAGTGTAAAAGTGATATTATTGACAACATCAGGTATGAAATTGCCCCTTCAGTTAAAAATAATATTAATCCTGAAGATATTGTTGCTGCCATTTTAGAAGGAGAGGAGAGTCCTGAAGAAATGAAACCAATGAAAAATACTTCAGTTTTGAAGTATCAGCCCTTTAAAGGAATAGGATCCCTGTGTGAAAATGAGCCATTTAAGGAGTTGACCAAGGAAAGTCTTAATTTCAGGGCAAGATATGCAGAAAAAGCCTCAAAACCTTACTGTTCCTATGGGAAAGAGTCCTGCTGTAGACAATCTAGTAGTTGCGTATCATGTCCACCTGGAAGCAGAAGTGTGGAAAAGATGCAGAATATTATCTGTAACAATTCTGAGAGTGTGTCGGGTTCCCTATATGCAGCAGGTAAAAGTGAAAAGCCTATTTGCAATCCACTTTCAGTAGGCAATAATACTTACTTGAGTTCATGGAAAGAAGATCAGATAGTAAAGAGAGAAGAAAGTGAAGATGGTACCATTATGAGGACTGATGGAAGTGAGGAGAAAAGCAATGATATGGATAGCAATGAGTTGGTCACAGAGATGTGCATTAAATTTGATTTGAATAGCTCAGAATCTCTTTCGGAGGATCCAAAGACTGATACAAACAGAGAAGTTTCAGCCTTTATGCCTCAAGTGTGTGAAAACATGAAAAGTCTGCAAGACACAAAAGAACTTTGCAATCCTGTTAATATGCCGAGTGAATCAGATAAAAAGGAGAAACAACTGCGGGATAATCAAAAGAGACTGGCAGCTCTACAAGAGAGACACAAAGAGAGAGAGTTACAGAAGAAACTTATTCAAGGGGCATTCTCAAGCCTGGTAATTGTACTCTTTAACTTGTCTCCGATTAGTAAACAATACTGAAAGAAGAAATATTTAATAAACATATCTAGTATATTTTCTCTTAAGATTTTCTGTTATGTACTGTATTTGGGAAAAGCATCTGTCATCTTTTCCCATTACCAAGCTCTTTTCAGATTGGGTTTATGAAATAAGACATTTGTGGGGTACTGAAGCAGAAACATTAAGAGAGATTGTTTTCAAGTCATCGCTATTGAAAATATGATGTAACCATTATTTGACAAGTTTAACTATAACAATGCTTGTTTTAACACAGGATAACCAGTCAGCAAGCAAACCTAAACACGTTGTATTTGATTCAGATGGGGAAGGTGAAGCTGAGGTATGCAAAAGGCCTAAGGAAGGAGTGACTTTAGGAAATGTGCTTAAAAATGTGAGTAGCATAAAAACAGGTGCAACCTAATTTCTGAGAGAGTATTCACATTCCCCACTTAACTTGCTGTGGTATGTATTCCAGGAAATTTGTAATGATGAAGAGCAACATCAAAATGTTCACCAAATTATTTCAGATATTTAATATCAGATCTTGAATACTATCCTAATTGTTAGTGGGCAAAAATAGAGGTCACAGGACAAAGTGATACATATAGTTTCATAGTTTCATAGATTAAGGGTCGGAAGGGACCTAGTAGATCTTCTAGCCCGACCCCCCACCAGGGCGGGAGAACAACAAAACCCCAAAACAAGAAACGGGACTCAAATGAGTCCAGCCAGGTAGGCATCCAGCCTCTTCTTAAAGACCCCCAGGGTAGGGGCCAGCACCACTTCCCTTGGAAGTTGGTTCCAGCTCCTAGCCGCCCTAAC